GGTTTTTGTTTTGTTTTGTTTTTTGGTATGGTGAGAGAGAATGGGGGAGGAATTTACAAATGTTTTACATCATCTAATTCAGGCTCCATCTGAAATAACAAACAGAAGCACGAGAGACTCCAAACACTGAGAATGAATCCCACGGAGACCCACATTTTCCTTCACACCCACTCTGGTTGTGTTTTTGGTTTTTGGCTTGATACAGAGCAAACCCTGCTGTGATTCCAAAATCATAATAAATTCAGAACTGAAGTGCCATGTTGTTTCCAAGCAAAACTGAGGCTTTTCCTGAATGGCCACTGCTTGCTGCAAGACGGTGAGAAAACAAACAGTGGCAGGTATGACTGGAATGGGCCTCCCTGAAAAACATCTCGCTTCAGTCCTTCTGTTAATGCGTATCTTGCACAAGTGAGGCCAGGATAAATCAATGTACACCGAGTTACACACACCTGTGATTTCTCTCATGTCGCTTCCTGTGCCCCTCTGAATAAACAGAAGCCCTTCTACCCAGGGGGCATCTACACCTACACCTGGCTTGAGGGGTCCTGAAGTCCCCACACTGCTCTGGCAGAAAGTGATGATTCTTTTTCTCTCATGATCATTAAGGATCCCCGGTGTTACCTCTGTTGAAGATGCTCACAGCCAAGTGAAGATGTCGGGTCTGGTTCAGGAAAGTCAGTCTAGAAATACTGGCAACAACCAAGGCCAAGGCACTGGGAGGCTCTGTGCTTATTCTGTCTCTGATGGTGGCAGCTGTGAGCTGCAGATACCATCTGCTGAAGGCAAATGCCTAGTTAACTGTGCTATTCTTGATTTCTTCACAGTCCATAGTTCCTACCAATATCACCCTACTCAGCTACCCTACTCACTGCCCCAAATGCAGTCACACAGGTGGGGTTGACCAGGGTTCCCCTTGGCAGAGCTCTATATTGACATAACAGCAGGACCTATCTGCTATGCTTCTACCCCTCCCAATACCATGAAGCTAAGAACAAGCTCCTATATACACAGGCCATCGAGGGCTTTTCGAACCCAACTACAGCAGTATACAGTGATGTACCAAAGTCAACTGCGGAAACAGTGCTGTGTTTGCTACAAGTGCCAGGGATATGGTAGGTTGCCACAGCGAGCCTCATTCACCAACTGGCAATCCAAGAAAATCCAAAAGGGCTGACATTTAGCTTGTATTTCCAGTGGAAATAAGTTTGCTAAGGAAATAAAAAATAGAAATAATATTTTAATGGTGGCATTTAAATGACCTAGATGGAGGTTTCAAAGAACCCTGAAGCTTTCACTGAAACTCTGACAAGTTACTTTGTACCTCTCTGTTAAAAAGACAGGTGGCAAAGATAGCTATCCTCACCCCTGCCTCCCCTTCAGCCATCCTCATCCCTGCCTCCCCATCGGCCATTCCCCTCTCTGCCTCCACAATTATCTGCCTCCCATCAGCCATGTCCTTCCTGCCCTCCCCATTTCTGCACAGCTCTGTACAGTCTCCACACCATCCTGCTGATTGCAAAGCTGACCCCGATTCAAGATCAGTCAGCTCTCTGGCCCCTCCTCCTTTGTCTCTGTCCAGCCTCTGTCCAGTCCTCCCTAGTCATGCCATCCTAGGCCTCTAGAGCTCTGCCTAGCCTCTTTTTAAAATCCCGTATTTCCCGTGATCCAGCAACCTGCCACGCAAACGTCACCCCGGGTTTTCTGGAGCCCTCCACGTCCCACTCAACATCTGTTATGATCCGCTGGAGCTTCAGTCTCGGTCCCCAGCACTGAATTTAGGGAGCATGGCGTGAACTGAGAGCATCTATCCCATAGGCTTGGGTCCAGGTGTATTCTGAGATTCACACTTTTTCTGCTTTCAGGATGGTGGGGTGGTGCATGCCGCTGTTTAGTGTTCAGCAGCACAAAAGAACCAGACTTGACAACCCAGTATTTCAGTAACAAAATGTATGGATTCCCTCCTTGTCATATACAAACAGATTCTAAACCTACTGGGAGATGACTTAAAAATAGTTCATTCATGGGGCTGGAGAGATAGCTCAGCAGTTACAAGCATTGGTTGCTCTTACAGAGGACCGAGGCTCAATTCCCAGAACCCACATGGGACTTTACAACTGTGTAAACTCCAGTTGCAGGGAATCCGACACCCTCATACAGACATACATGCAGCCATAACACCAATGCGCATAAAATTGAAAAATTTAAAAAGTTCATAAAAAATAGTTCACCAGTACTGGCTGGTGGCTGTGATCGTCAGCTCCTATTTTCAACTTGAATGGACTAAGAATCCCCTTCAGAGGCAATGAGACCACTCCATGGGAAAAGGCACCTGCTGTCAAGCTTGCCGACCTGAGTTTGATCCCTGCAACCACTTGGTGGAAACAAGAACCGACCCTACACATGTGTGCTGGAGTGCTTGCAAACACGTGGGCATTAGTAAGGCAGACTTGGGTGTCTCTACCAAACTACTCCACAGATCTGAGGAGGTGATGCCCACATCAACATTAGGCGCAGCCTCTCCTAGCCTGGGAGCTGAACTGAGGAAAACGGGAAAAGCAGGCATTATAGACCAAGCAGCTCCCAGCTCTGGGCTTCCACTCCACAACTGGACCTCTGGCCCCTCTGAAGCACAAACCACAGCGAAGCCTCCTGTGCGCTGCTTCCTGTCAGGTAGTTGGGCACGGCAAAGAGACTAATCCGGGGTGGCGTCTGCGCCCTCAGAACTGTAGGAAGGGCCAGGTTGCTGCAACAGCAACGCAGCGGCCACTTCCATGGTCCTGGCTTCTGGCAAGAGTGTTTCCATCAGGAACTCCACACTGCTCACGCTGATTCCTGCAAACTGGTCTTCTCTGGTTAGTGTGAGAAGAGCATCGTGATCACATCCACAGTATTTTAAATCATTTTATTTTACCTCTATTTCCAGAGGAGTTCCACCTTCCACGTCAAAACACCAAGTCCCCCTTCCTCATTTACTTAGGTGAAATGTGAGCACAGGAGGATCATTAGGTTTCTCACTGCCCAGAGAGGGCTTTCTGTTCAACAGTGGGTTGATTGTTCTTTATGAGGGTCAATTTGCAGGTTTAAAATCCCAGTGATGTTCACCCCATTGCCCCCCCCCCCCCATAAGAGCGAGCTTTCAAGTCTGAGTTTGTCTAACATGTGATGCAAATCTCTCACCACAGAAAGCCCCTATGCATACTGTGTAGCTCAGCATCCACTGGTTTGGCCCCTCCAAAGCCCTCTAATAAAGTCTTTTTAAACACAGCTCAGGCAGATGTGATGCCAGCATCACAGGGATTATATATACATCACGGGATACTGGCAGTACGGGACACAGCACTCTGACAGGCAATTCCTAGGCAGTTATTTTGACATTAGGAAGTCACAATCTATCAACTTAACAGCAGGGCAATAATTTTGGGGACTAGGGTGACAGCTCTTCAAAATGACACGGGAGGAAGCAAACAGTAGCTTCAGGAGGCCCTGCCTGAGAAGAAAGATAGAAAACTAAGCAGGATTTCCTTCCATCCCTACAACCAACCATTCTATCATGTCTTCTTGCATGACCATTTTTCTTCCAGGGGCTGAACAGGAATGTTCTTCCTAGAGAGCCAAAGAAAGTGCTGGTGGCCAGACTCTGGCCACCAGCTTGGGGACAAGAGATGGCTCTGCCGTTGCTAGACTAAAGACAACCCCCACTCTGGTGTGGCCCACCCTGCGATGGCCACAGCAGTTCTCCAGAAGAAGCCGCATGACTTTGCTCAACATTCTAAGTTACTCAGCTCTCAATATTCTGGGAGACAGAACTCCTGGGGGTGTGGAGGGTACTTGGACTTGACCCTGGAGGGGTTACAGGGACAATAAGCATGTTGAAGCCCTCCTGCACACAAGTGCGTCTCTGCACACAACCACACACTCAGTCTCACTCTCCCATTCTGCTCCGGGACAAACGCATGAGAAGAGGGACCACGGACTGCTTGAAATGTCTGTCAACATCCAAAAGAGAATGATTGGTGGTGGAACAGGAAATGGGGTGCACAGAAGTGGTTCTCAAATGATCCACAACTGTCAACACACACACACACACACGTCCTGAGGGACAGCTATGCCCCACTAAAAGGACAATACACTTTCTCTTACTCTAGAACAAAGAAGTGACGGACAGGTGGGAAGTTGTGTGTTAGCGGCTGAGCCTGCCAGGAGGGTCAGATGGATGTAGTAGGTGCTGTGACTAGGACAGAGTTCAGGAGACAGGGTCTCCTGGCCGGCCTGAGTCCCTTCTGTGTACGCAATGGTATTTGTGGGGGCCACGGCTATAGCAGCTAGTTCTCACCCCAGCCTCATCCACCTCTTACTGCCTGCCTGAAATGTTGACAACATATAAGACACATTATTGTCAAGTTATCTCTTTCGTTTGTGTGTGTGTGTGTGCATGAGTGTGTGCGTGTGTGTGTGCCTGTGTGTGTATATGCACACGTGTGTAAGCCAGAGCTCAACATCAAGTGTCTTCTTCAGCCACTCTCCACCTTACTCTTTGACGCAGGGTCTCAGAGGGACCGGCTTGGATGCGGATGAGGTGGCTGCCGGCAAGCCCTGGGACCCTCTGTCTTGTTCTTGTGGCCCTGAAACTACAGGTGAGCTCTGTGCTCAGGGTATGCACGAGCCGGCTGGAGCTCAGGTCCTCACGATGATGCGTCAGGCACTTTACTGAATGAAGCCACTTCCCTGCCCTTATAGTTCAATATTTAAAGAAAAGGAAATTCAGTTCGTGGACAAAGCATCAGCAAGGAAGAGATGAACAGGTCTGAAAGCAAAGGTAAAGGAGCCACCACAGGCTGCATTTTTTGTGGCAGTCTCAATGGCGTTTCTCCCTCTTCTGTAAACCCACCTTCCCAGGAATAGCTGCAATGCCCAAGCCGCAGGCATCTGGAAACACTCATTTCAGAAAAGCCATTCTCAAGCACCCAGCGGCGGAAGCAAAGGCCACAATGTGTCCTTACCTGGAGCCGATAGTCTTCCGTGCAGCACAGATTCGCCGGGCAGCACATCTTTTGAATTGGAGGTGAATGGTGATTGTCTAAATGTGTCTTCTGAAAAGAAAGGGCTGGGGTGGGGGAGGAGAGTGAGGGTTAGTAAATTAAAGTTATTTACAATACCCAGAGCACCTGGCTCCAAACACATGCGCACACACGCACTCAGACACACACTGGATAAAGTGGTGTTTTTAAATGATATTAAAGCAATATAAATCAGACTATGCTTGTAACTAAGGAAGAGAGAGCAGGTTGTACAGATGAGTATCACAAGAACATCATTTTTACACTCAGGGTCCACACGCAAAATATCACCTTTTTAAAAAAGAGATTGACTGTGAGTGTGTGCCAGCATATGGAGGCCAGAAGAGGGTGCCCGGTGCAGCGGGGCTCAAGTTACAGTGGTGGGAGCCAGCTGACAGGGCGCTGGGAACCAAACTCGGGTCCTCTGCCAGAGCAAGCATTCCTACTACCTAAAAGACCACATTTGAAACACAGTGAGGCTGAGTCCAGGGCCAGCTCAGCGGCTGGATGTATCTTCCCTTGCTCACGTGTGTTCTGGGCACAAATGACAGTAACTGTTGCCCCAGAATCAGGAAGAACCTCTCTGCTTTCTGCGGTGGAGGAGACGAAACCAGCATGATCTGTAATCTGACCCCCTCAGAGACCAACCCCCTCAGAGACCAAGGGCCACTACACTGCAGGCCACAGCCAGCTGGGCCCTCAGTAAGTGCAGCTCCAGCAGGAACGGGGCTAGTCTTGACAGGCATAGTTGGGACGCTATGCTACCAAGGACCCAGGCTTGAGCATCACAGGAAAGGACAGAATCAACCTGGGCAGCACTGAGCCCCCTTGAGATCCGGCTGGAAGCATAACAGAGCTTTAGAATTCCCAGGATTCTCCCCGACAGCACCACCACCGTGAGCACATTCACTGTCTGAATCCCTCAGAAACCCTCTAAGTACTGTAATCACTCACAGGGCTACACAGTATCCATCCAGGTCCCTCCTGGGAAATGGGAAGCCCTACTTGTGTGTATCACAGGAAATTCGGCCAGAGGTGCCAGGTACCAAGTGGTGGCAAGGCCATGGGCAGGAACATGATCTCAAGATGGGAGGAGCAGGAAGCCGCTCCCACCCTAAAGTTGGAGGGACAAAGAAGAGAGACAGGAGCCAGCGATGAAGTCCCTGGTCTGAGGACATGATGGAAGCTGGAGGCCAGATAAACCTGAAGCTGTAGCAGGAGCCTGTGTTCAGAAAAAGAAGCTCTTTCCCTAGGCCCTACCCCTGCCTCCCAGCAGGGCCTGGCATTGGTCAGTCCTTCCAGAAGGCAGGGGCACTATAGCTCGGAGAGGCAGGACAAAGAACAGATCCCAGGGCATGGAAGCCTGAGACTCCCACACATGGGGCTGCTTTTCTAAGCTTGACCCTAGACTACAGCAACAATGATTACATCAATATTAAAGAGACAGACAGCATTAGGATAAAAGAGGAAGAGAGCACAGCTCTACCATAACTGTTAGGCTCCACTGCCCAGGACTCTGACTGGCATGCTTTATATTTATAGTGTAAACAGTAAGCAATCTAAACGGGCTTTCAAAGTGCACAAGCTGTGGGGCACTAGACAGGAAAGGCCGTTTTATACCAACCACCACAAAAGCGTCAAGTCACAAACACTCGCCGGCTGAGTACATGTACTCCAGAATCCAAACTCTGGCCATGCTACCTGGCCATGGTGTGACTTTGCACAATTCCTTAAGTTTTCTGGACCTCCATTTCTTTTCTACAGAGGGGATAACAGTCCCACACATCACCAAGGAGCTGTGAGGACCAAGCAAAAGAGTCCATGGACTGTGTTTTACATAGTTCCAGTACATCCAGCAAGTGCTCAAGCAAGCAATGGGAACTATGTCTTATTTTTTTTTAATGTGTGTGTGTGTGTGTGTGTGTAGCCTGAAGGAGAATAAATTAATCAACTTTTCCATACAAGTTAACAAAAGGGAAGTTCCCTTTGTATTGAAGCCATTATAACAAACGAAGGAAAAGTCATTCTGATTTGGAAGTCTTAGTTAACAGTGGGGATTAGGCTAATATCCAGCCCTTGCATAAAGAGGACTGTTAAGGAGCAAAGAACACTAAGGAGTTAGAGAGACTGCTGGTCAGACATGAGGGCTCTTGTCGCCAAGGCTGGGCAGTCCTTCAGAGGTAGGGCACTTGTTGAGCATGAGACTCTGGGCTCCATCTCTATCAATAAACACAGCACACACACACACACACCACACCACACACAGCACACAACACATGCATACACATCAGACACCCCCCAACACCCCACATGCATACACACACACACCACACCACACACAACACATGCATACACATCAAACACACATACACACACAACACACGCACACACACACACACACCACATACACACACAGCACATGCATACACATCAAACACACATACACACACAACACACACACACACACCACATACACACAACACATGCATACACATCAAACACACATACACACACAACACACACACACACACACACACACACACACACACACACACACGATGGCCGTGTCATTAGCTCTGAAGCTCACACAGAGAGACACTGCCTGAGAAAAGGTGAGCACAAGGTAAAGTCAGCTACACATGTTACCATGGCTCTGTCTGTTGAAACTACTACCTCCATTTTATTCACTTATTTTGAGGTGGGGTCTCCAGGTTGGCTTTGATCTTGCTTCATGGCCAAGGATGATCTTGAATTCCTGATCTTCCTGCCTGCACCTCACAGGTGTTGAGACTGTGGGCATGTGGCACGACCCCTGACTGGGCCACCTGGAAATGTGAGAGCTGAGGGGACCTAGCAGGGATTTCCTTTTGGGAACCCCCAGATCCCAAGAGCAGCCCTTGAAAGTGTGTTTAGAAGTAGCCGCACCCCTGGGCCCTGGGCCCTGCCCCTTTTTACAGTAACTGTTCCAGCTCTGGCCAGACACTGCCCTCAGTTTCAGCAACGACTCAGCAAGTTCCCGTGATGAGTGGGCTCAGGAGCACGGGGCACACCATGGCTGAGGGAGATCAGAACGTCAGCAGAACCGGATGATATGTGCTAACCTGTCAGCCATGAAGAGCTAACTAGGGAGAGGAAGAGGTGGCTGAGGATATGCAGGAGAAGGGTGCTGTATGATGGGGGAGGGGTGGCTTGGTCAGGAAGGTGATCTGAAGGAGGGTAGGTACATGGGTTGGGGCCAGCCAGCATGTAGAGCTGCAAGAAAGCCACATAGAGAGAGACGAGTGAGACCCAAGGGCTGGAGCATGGTTTTGACCTACCAACAGACACACTGCAGGATCTCTGTAAGTGGGAGGAAGGACAAGAGTCTGGATTCAGTCACTGATTGTAGCAGACAGCCTGGAGAGGCCTGAGAAACCTGAGCAGGTGCTCACCACCACCGCACATACGGGAATGGTGGGCAGGGCCGCAAGCCAGCAGAGGGCCGTGTGGATGGCAACGGGCTTTGCAAAGGAGAGCAGGCGAGGCGGAGCACGGGCTCTCTCCAACAACCCAACATTCCCAGGAGCAGCAGGCACAGGCCGCTGCTCCTCAGGGAAGAGAGCCTCGAGGCTCTGCAGCGCGCACAGCCCACTCCGCACCTCGCCCCCTTCTTCCACAGTGCACATCCTCGCGAGTGAGGAGTGCAGGCCTGCTGTGGAGGCCCAGAAGAGACTAAGTCACACACAGAGCATGGCCAAAGCTACTTTCCGGATAAAATTTCTCCCTTCGTGGCAGCTGTATCCGGCATGGAAAAGAAAGATTTCTTTGGAGGCAAAAACTGTTAAGGGTATGATACCAAACACCAAAAATGCACCGAAAAGAGCCTCTGTGTATTATAGGGTCAGAGGATCAGTGCAGAAACTTCTAGAAGCCAAGGCAGTGAGGTCTTATCCACGAAGAGAGCTAGGTTAAGAGAACACTGACCCCAAGCTAGACCAGCTGCTGAGACGCGAGCAGCACAGTGGATTCACCGTTATGAGGCTAAAGGGGAGGTCGGCACCCATACTGCCACTTAATGAAGCAACCTTTGTCAAATAATCCCTCTAGCCTGAGTTTCATTGCTGGGAATGTGGTTCACAAACTACCATCTGTCTTGGTGACATATACAGATAATGTAGTTCTGAGTGCCTAGCAGGTCCTCACGCTGTCTGCAGCGAGGCTTCGAGTTGGGTAGGCTCCATTATCATATCCCTATCACACAGATGAGTAGACTTGGAGAAGTGACGGAGTTGTCCATGCCACAGCCGAAGCAGTTTGAACCCAGGCTGCCTTCATGATCTGCCTTCTAACCTCCCCTGGTCTCGGAATCCCAGGAATCCCAGGAATCCTGAACAGGGTTTTTTGGAATATGTGTAAGGAAGAACAGATGAAGGAGTGGTAGAGAGCGACCACCCCAGAATGCAGGCTCTCAGGCAGCAGGCGCTGGCTGTGTCTCCATGAGCTGAGAAGCAGAGGGAAACTGACTGAGCCACCACTTCTCTCTAACAGCTAAATTGTGCCCTGGTTTTCTAAAACTTCTGCAGCCCGTGAGCCATGTCTGCCACACGTACTCACTGCTTCTGAAGGCAAGCTGGTCTCAGCCAGGTCTCAGTGAAAGGCAGAACAGAGCATGGTGGCTCATGCTTGTAATCTCCACAATAGAGTGTGACCTGAGGTTCCAGTCCAGCTTGAGCTACACAGATCCAGGCTAGCCTGCACTATAGAATGAGACCCCGTCTCAAACAAGAAAGAGAAAGGAAATAAGGTATCCAAGGCACTAAGGCTGCACACACACCATCTTCATATCCTCATCACGCTGGAGAAGCATCCTTAGACAGTGCCAACCACACAGGCTTGGGTCTCCAAGATAATCTTACTTTTGCCGTGTGCTGAGGGCCAGCCCTACATCTGTAGCGTGTAGCTGAACACGTCAGTGACCCGAGAAGTTCGGAAGCCAGGAAGCTCTCCATGCTGCTGGACTCTCTGGCCAAAGGTTAAGTGATGGTAAGGTTGACAGCTACTACTCAGT